TATCAAGATTTTTAGGAGTTTTAAAAAATAAACCATTAAAAATTTTAAAGTTTAAAATCTAAACAAAATAATCTGTACAATACAGTAAATTGCCAAAGGCGACTGGCTTTTCCAAAAACTTTTGTTATCAGAACGTAAATATGAATGGTTTATCCTGTGCAGCAACGAATGACATGCTCATCCTATTGATATATTGAACATGCAAACTCTGAGTGTTTTAACCAAAAAAAGAAAACTTCGTTTTGAAGTAAATTCAACCACACAGGTTTAAATTCTCAGTATAGCGTAGATGCACACCAACATTTCTTTCACATTCTTTTTCGATAAATCTAGTACGAATGAGCTGTATGACACACTCTATTGGAAGACAAAGATATACGGTGAGATAATTAACACTTTTGTCATATCTGACCTGAGACATCCACAATGTGCTCTTAAGCGAAGCAAAACACTTCTGGTCCTTAGAGACAATGTACTATAACCATAGCTACTAAAACATTTCTCCTACAACGGAGCATGACATTGTATAAAAGGTTAATTTTGGACGTGAAATTGTAGTTTTTGATTTTGAATGATTTTCATGAAGTTTGAGTTTATCTATGAATGCTTCTATATTTTGATAACAGTCTGTGATCAATTTTTTTCACCTTCAAGCTGATTATTAAGTTCGTTTAATTTTATTGTGATATTAGTAGAGAAACATAAACAAAAAAAAAACATCATTTAATTTAGGAACACTCTGGTTCTTTCCATTTATAAAAAATTAATTTTTTTTCTCTCAATTTCCAAAATTTTTTAAAGCATTTGCCGCCACTTAAATAGCAGAGGTACCTAAACAGAATAACTTTATAAAAATGGCTGCCAGGTCAAAGAAAAGAAAACCAGTAACTAACAGTTATCCGATTTTGAAATGGCCAACAGAATATAACCATCACATGAAGCGCTCCTTGGGAGTTAAGTAAAATCAAATAACTTGGACAGTAAAACATAATTAAAACACATAATTAAAACCGTTAACAAACTAAACACGGAATGATTTAAAATTTTAAATCTGTATGCACGTGTAAATGTGTTATTCTCATTGAAATTTTATCAGGCTTACTTTGAAAGAATTAAAAAAGAAAATTTACCGTTTATTGGAAACACAGAAGACAGTTGTGTGCCTATTGTTTGACATTTATTACAGATAGGGTTTTTGAAACGAGATCCCGAAATTTCAAATGTTTTTTCAACCGAGAAATATTTCGGGAAATCCCGCACATTTCTAAAAAGTTGACGTTTTTTATTTAATTTTGTGTTNCAATATTATTATATTCAATTTTTGTTATGTCAATATTATTATTATTATAATTCAAATGTTATGTCAATATTATTATGCCTCAATTTACAAAAGCTTTGTTTATTTAGATAATACTGCTAATCTCTGCTATTTCAACCTTGTCTCACCAGTTTTGGTGAGACAAGGTTGAAATAGAAGAGATTAGCAGTATTATCTAAATAAACAAAGCTTTTGTAAATTGAGGCATAATAATAGTAGAGGCAGAAGGTACAGTAAGATTCGACATGTGAATATACTGCAATTCAAATTTCCTAGACTACAGCTTAATTTTATGCTTCATTTTTCCTACTCTGGTACTGATTACAGATGCTGTAGCGTTCAAAAAAATTAATGTAGTGCCACAACTTTGAGAAACAAAGTACGAGTGGTGTTCAAAAAGTATCGGACCTTTATTTTTCCCGCGTAAACCAATGATGCACGGGAGGTCTCTTTCGGTGGAGTTGTGGACGAAGTCATGGACAGTCCTGAATTTTTTCCTGCCTGCAGGAAGCGTCAGTCGCTGGCAGTCGACCTGAGTGAGGACGTGTAGTGACTGCTCGTCAGATTCCACTAAGTTGGAAAATGACTGAACAACGTGAGCAACGATATTGCATCAAATTTTGTCAAAAGCTTGACGATACCCAAGCAGAAACCATTCACAAGATTCGGCAGGCTTTCGGGGACGATCCTCGAGGCCAAAAAAGCGCGTCATGTCCACAGCAATGTCAAGGTCATGTTGACGGTTTTTTTTCGACTCTCGTGGGGTACGCACCACAAGGCCAAACCATCGCAAAGAAGTACTACTAGGAGGTTCTTCGTCGTCTTTGTGATGATATGCGACGCAAACGACCGGATCTGTGGTGAACCAAACTTGGAATTTCCATCATGATAAAGTACCCGCCCACTCTGCGCATGTGATTCAGACTTTCGCCACCAAACACAACATTCCTGTGGTTCTTCGCTTTCTCCCGACATAATTTCATGTGACTTTTGGCTATTTCCCAAGCTGAAAATGCCGCTAAAAGAAACCCGATTTTAGTCAAGTATCATGCGGCATGCTACGGACCAGATGATGGCCATTCCAAAAGATGCGTTCCAGCAGTGTTTCAAGCAATTACAGGAGCGCTGGGGAAAATGTACACATTATGAAGGAGACTACTTTGAAGGTGATTAGGGTTTTGTATCTCAAAATCAATAAATGTATTTTAGCAGACCAAAGGACAGATACTTTTTGAACACCCCTCGTAAAGCTCGAGGCCTATTTCTGTGACGATGCTTATTTTTCCGATTTATGTTCAACATGCCTGTTTTCTGCAAAACTTTATCCAGTTGTAGTCTGTGTAATGTGCACTTTGTTTCCATAATTTTTTTCACTGTCAAGCCTTATTTTTTCGAAATACTTTTAAATGTTTTCTTTATATAGATATCCTGGCTGAGCTTTATTTTTTCACCTGGTTTTTCTATTTTTTTTCATATCATCACAAGCATTTTTAGTCAGAAGTAACTATATAATAGAATAATGTTTATGATAATTTAAGTCCATCTGAAAACCATGTGAGAACCTGCAGTTTATTCTCAGTGCCACAGAGAAGAAGTATGAAAAAGTTGGTGCAGATCGAAAAAACAACTATAAATAGAGAAACTCAAACGTTTTCTCATTTCTATACGGTGTAGACAAAATATCTCGAGATGCGGAGGGTCAAAGTCATACGATTCCAATGGTGTTCCTCGTAATATATGCATGACAGCCAGAAAAGAAATATGAAACATTATTTTACAAGTGAGTCTAAAACGATTCAATGACTTTATTCGAAATTAAAGATTTCCACAGATCTCATCATATGCACTAAATATCTAAAATTTCATTTAAATCGGATAATTGGTTTTAGCGATATTAACGGTCAAATTTGGCACTTTAATATATGTGTGGTTGAGTTTCACTGTAGAGACCTACAGAGTTCTATGATACTTAAAGTTTGTTTCGATTACTTAATTAATTGGTGTTTTAACGCTATGTGTTGAAGGTATCTTCTAATATGTCTAACAATTTACAAGCCTTATTGGTGCATGGAACTTCTGAAATATTTAAACAAGAAGGCAAGCTTACAGAAATTTGAAATTTTTCCATTTACTTAATTAACAAGCATTTTAAATTTCTGTTTAGATCAATTTGGTGGTAACTTTGCTTTACTTTTTACAAAGTAATATCAGGACTTTTTCATATAGTAGAACCTTGAGAGAATTTCTAAATATATATCACACTAACGAAACGAATAAAATTAATTACTCCATTAACCTTAATACACAGTTTTATCCTTTATTACGACATGATTTACGAAACAAATCAAACTAACTTGAAATATTTGTTTCTGCAATTAAAATTTTATATTATCAGAAAATTTAACGTATTCATATTATATTTAATTGTGTAAAAAACAATTCAATTTTATATCAAAATATTTGTGCAGAATGTTAAAACAAACCTGACAAGTTAGTACTGTATATTAAAATATGAAGTCATATAAACAATAAGAACAAAAAATTTAAATTATTGAATGTGAAAAAATTTCATTTAAACTTTAAAGTAGGATTAACGAAAAGCAGCAACAGTAAGTTGCGTCCTAATATCAGAAACGTTTTTCCAGAAATTTTTAACTGTCTTGAATAAATTTTATAATAAATAACAGAGAAACTGCAATCGATGTTATCGAAAATCATAAGGAAATAAATAAATTTTAAATGTGTTTAATTTTATATTGATTCTGATATTAAAAGTGAACATATTTAGAAATTAGAATTTCTAGACGCAAAAAATGCTACAAATGCATATTCCAATATGAAATTGAACATTTTGTTGACTGCGGCTACACGAACTACCATATTTAATTTCTTCGAATCACTTTTATTTACGATTTGGGTTTGATACTTTTTGTCTTTATTATTGTTTACTAAAAAACAATTTTATGATTTAAATTTAACCCATTTAGTCATTCAAAATTATAATATTGTCATTACGTATAAACACAATGTTAAACAACAATAAAATAAAGCAGACAGAAGGATTGCAGTTGTAACTGTGACATTACAATATTAGAAGTGTGTTTTATACATTAACGAATTATCCATGTTCTTTGTTTGAAATAATTTTTGTCAACATTATTACTCTCTTACTAAACTTTAAGTAAATAAAATTATACTGATAACAATAAGTTCTTTTGTTCGTATATTTTGATGCATATCTACTAATTTTATCGCAAGATTCTGTGGTTAGTGACCTCAACTGCAATCGTTATATCATATGTAAAATAATTTTTAAATTACGAAAATAAACATTAGAAACAATTATGAATTCTAATTACGAAAAAATAATTTTATGTGTTTTATTCGATTATGTTACTCAAGGTTTTTTAAAACAGGTTTTTTAAATCGATGTGTTTAATTCTGTTTATTTTTATTGCATTCAATTGTGTTTACTTCATTTCATTGTGTAGATTTGTTTAATCTATTTGTCACACGTTTCTAGAAATATTTAGAGAATAAATTGTAAATAAATTCATCGCAGAAACTGAGCTCTCAAAGTGTTTTCTTTCAGAATACGATTTACAATTACGAAAAAATAATTTTAACTGTTTTTTACATTACTTACGCTAACATATATGCGCAATTGCTCAATCGCGAAGAACAATTGTTGAGTCCCTCATTATTGCAGAACATTGTTGTTTCTTTCTCTAAATTTACAATTTGAATTTTTATATTTAAATTATTAGCACTTTAATTAAATTAATCAAAAATGGTAAGTGAAACTTTCAATTTGTTTTCTAAGACTTCGTTGATGTTTGATGAATACTTATTAAATTGTGAAAAATTATAATACCGTGTCGACAAAATACATAAAGTATATTTTTCTAATATGTTTTTATATAACAATAAAATATTTATGATAATAATTAGAAAAACTGTCAATTTTTTATAATTATTTTTCGAATATTTTTTTGAAAGGAGAAGAAACATCAGTGTGATAAATGTGGAAAAAAGTTTTTTAAAAAATGGAACTTAGAAATTCATGTAAGGACTCATACTGGTGAGAAACCTTTTCATTGCGAAATTTGTGGAAAAAAATTTACCCAGTTAGGACATTTAATATCTCACAGAAAAGTACATTCAGAAGAAAGAAAATTTCAATGCAACTATGTCGGCTGCGATTTTAGAACTAAATATAAAAATAATTTGCTAAGACACGTAAATGTAATACATTTACGAAAAAAATCTTCTCAAGTAATGTTTATTTTTTGCTATTCGTTTAAATGAAATTTATAAATGTATATAAACTATAATCATACGATAGACTATACAAGAAATTTAATTAATTGTGTATTTAATACAAACGAAGCTGTGATAACTAACAGTGTAAAGAAAACATCGGAAAATATACTCATTATAAATTTATAAGATTAAAATATTTTCTTCGGTACTAATATGATATTTTGAATTAAAATTCGAAATTTAAAAAAAAAATTAATTAACTCAAATCTGTTAAATTTAAAGTTTGATGGAACAATACGACAGGAAGGACAATAAATATAAATCTACTTATTGTTATTTAAATACCGTAAATAAGAAAAAATATAAAAGAAATAATGTATAATTTCAAGTATAGTGTTTTTAAAATATTAACTGACACGAACAAGCGCATTACTCATAAAGTGTCTTGTTGCTAATTCTAGTTTAAGTTAATAAACTTTATATAAATTGATGTATTATTGCATCTATTGCCATGAACACAAGTAAAAGAAAATTAACAAGTAATTAGAAATATTACTGTCAAATTTAATTTTATAAGGTAAAATAAATTAAATATATTTCTGTAAGCTTTGAACAACGTATATTTACTTTTAATAATAAAATGAATTCGCCGTATTAAATCACAGATAATTACTTTAAAGTAACTTTAAAAAATTTGTTTCAAACTGAAGAATGTAATCAAAATTTATATGAAATATTATTAATTCGAAATTAAAATGTTGTAATTAAATATTTAATACATTTTGAAATAATTCTATAATTAGAGTTCATCGGAAGACCCGAGTGAAAGAAAATATCAATGTGACACGTGCTTTAAAGACTTTCCATGTAAATCACAATTACAAAGGCATGTGAGATCTCATACAGGAGAACGACCATTTCTGTGCGAGATCTGTAAGATGGCATTCAAACAAAAGGCTCATTTAAAACGGCACATTGAAATAATGCATTCGAATGCGGTAACTGAATCTTCGTCCCAGGTATTTAAATATGTAATTTATTTTATACACTATATTGCAATAGGCTATGACAATTTAAAATTTAAAAGTATAAAAAGGAGTCGGGTTGCTTTTGGTATTAACATAAAAGTGTTTTCTGTTTTAAGTGTTACTTTTTAAAATTTTTTGAAGTATTGTTTAATTTAATTTAAATTTCAATTAAAATAGCATATGACGTTAATTAGTACGGTAATTAATGATTAATTATCTAAATGTAATTTTGTGTAAAGAAATTCACACATAAACTCTAATTGATATATACTGCATCATATTATAAAAATTCTTTCAAATGTTTTCATTTAATTTATTATGAAGTAGTTTTTTTCTTTTTTGTGGTAATATTTTTTGCCACAATGAAAAAACATATATGTGAAACTAAGTATAATATTTTTCTTATGTAACATATTTTACATTAAATCTATTTAGGCCTACTCTGATATCTAAATGTAAATAAATATGACAATTATAAAATTGATCTTCGTGAATGATAAGGATCAATGTAAGTTCTGATCATATAACTGGTCTTCTCGTTTTTCTTTCTGTCTGAATTTCCTGTTTTATTTACTAGATCACTAGAGCATAATATAATTTTATGTTTCTTTCTTGGAGTGATTACAGCATGTTTTTGAGTAATTGTTAGCTTGCATTTTCACGTTATATGTGATTTAATTTATGAAAAAATGTCAAATGCGAACAAAACTTCAGCCTGATAAGCTTGCTCATTTAGTACCTATTTAGGTCTAATTAAAATCTTAATTAACCCGACAAAATGCTCATAAGAAGGTAAGAGTTAGGGAAAGAATGATACTTTGTTTTATTTACACGATAGAAAATTTTGAATATTTAATTATCGGAATTGTTGTAATTATATACGTAATTCATTTTGATTAAGTATACTTTTCTCTTTAAAACTGTCGTTATGTGCTATAATAGACAATACAGCAATATTATTTATTTAAATATGAGTAAAAGAATTGAGGTTCGTAATTGCTAATGTAGACGAAATTTTAATTTAATCTTCAATTTCAATGAATACAGACAATTTCTTAATGGAGAATATAGAACCGTCGGAAAAATAAACGCTCAGATTACATCAAAATAGCAATAATGCGATAACATACTGAAAACACATACAGACCAATGACGTTGAAAAGCATGAATTAAAAATACAAAAGAAATTTAATATGGCCAATACATATAAAATATAAACAATATAGTAAAGTAACAAGAATGTAATTGGGCATAATAATGTTTATAAGTGCATGAAATTAGACAAGAATATCTCATAAAATATATACTGTATATATATACAGGGTGTATCAAAATGACGTGTTAAAAATTTGGGAGATTGTAGAGGATGACCAAAATTTTGAACGTTTTGGTATAAGGAACCCATAGCTGGAAATGTGATATAAAGTTTCTACAGCGGTAGGAAGTGCTTGACCGCCCTTCACTTTGGTAGCTACCCTTTTGTCCATCGACGTCATGTCATTGTTTTTGACTTGATTTTCTGGGGTTATATAAAGTCTCTTGTGTATGCAACACCTGTAGGAACAGTTCGTGAGCTTACGGAGTGCATCTTTACAGAATTTAATACCATCAGAAGGGAGCCTGGCATCTTACAGAGAGTCGGATAAAACATGGTTCGTCGTTGCACGTTATGTAACGAAGTTGGTGGTCGTCACATTGAACATTTACTCTAAAGTAGTGCAGCCACTAATTCGATGTACAGTTTGATTGTACTCTACTCTTTTGTGAATAAAACTTGTCATAAATACTGTATTATGCTGTTTCATTCAGTATACCGACTGCAAAGTGCAAAGTGCTGTGGAAACTTTATATCTCATTTCCGGCTATGGGTTCCTTATATCAAAATGTTCAAAATTTCATCTTCTACAATCCCCGAAAATTTTAAAACTTCATTCTGATACACCCTGTATATATATTAAATCATGGTAAAGATGGATAAAGAATGAGGATGAGTGAAATTTAACACGTAGTTGTAATACATAGAATAAAAACTGCTGATTTATTCGAATCTACAAAAATTAATACAATTTTTAGGCTACGTATTTTCTAATACGTATCAAGATTTTTAGGAGTTTTAAAAAATAAACCATTAAAAATTTTAAAGTTTAAAATCTAAACAAAATAATCTGTACAATACAGTAAATTGCCAAAGGCGACTGGCTTTTCCAAAAACTTTTGTTATCAGAACGTAAATATGAATGGTTTATCCTGTGCAGCAACGAATGACATGCTCATCCTATTGATATATTGAACATGCAAACTCTGAGTGTTTTAACCAAAAAAAGAAAACTTCGTTTTGAAGTAAATTCAACCACACAGGTTTAAATTCTCAGTATAGCGTAGATGCACACCAACATTTCTTTCACATTCTTTTTCGATAAATCTAGTACGAATGAGCTGTATGACACACTCTATTGGAAGACAAAGATATACGGTGAGATAATTAACACTTTTGTCATATCTGACCTGAGACATCCACAATGTGCTCTTAAGCGAAGCAAAACACTTCTGGTCCTTAGAGACAATGTACTATAACCATAGCTACTAAAACATTTCTCCTACAACGGAGCATGACATTGTATAAAAGGTTAATTTTGGACGTGAAATTGTAGTTTTTGATTTTGAATGATTTTCATGAAGTTTGAGTTTATCTATGAGTGCTTCTATATTTTGATAACAGTCTGTGATCAATTTTTTTCACCTTCAAGCTGATTATTAAGTTCGTTTAATTTTATTGTGATATTAGTAGAGAAACATAAACAAAAAAAAAACATCATTTAATTTAGGAACACTCTGGTTCTTTCCATTTATAAAAAATTAATTTTTTTTCTCTCAATTTCCAAAATTTTTTAAAGCATTTGCCGCCACTTAAATAGCAGAGGTACCCAAACAGAATAACTTTATAAAAATGGCTGCCAGGTCAAAGAAAAGAAAACCAGTAACTAACAGTTATCCGATTTTGAAATGACCAACAGAATATAACCATCACATGAAGCGCTCCTTGGGAGTTAAGTAAAATCAAATAACTTGGACAGTAAAACATAATTAAAACACATAATTAAAACCGTTAACAAACTAAACACGGAATGATTTAAAATTTTAAATCTGTATGCACGTGTAAATGTGTTATTCTCGTTGAAATTTTATCAGGCTTACTTTGAAAGAATTTTAAAAAAAACAAAAACAAATTTCTTACCGTTTATTGGAAACACAGAAGACAGTTGTGTGCCTATTGTTTGACATTTATTACAGATAGGGTTTTTGAAACGAGATCCCGAAATTTCAAATGTTTTTTCAACCGAGAAATATTTCGGGAAATCCCGCACATTTCTAAAAAGTTGACGTTTTTTATTTAATTTTGTGTTAAGAATGAGGAAATTTTGCAAATAGAAAGTATAATTAACTCATAAACTGTCAGGATACATTTGTATTTATTAATTTTAAACCTACTTATTATTTCTTTTAAATTTTTCCTCTTTATCGCATGTGACAGATCGTTATTAATCAATATGTAGCCTATTTGTGACAGATAATATGTAGAATAATTGTGTTTAGGCTGTCTTAATTTTTAATCATTCCCAGTAGCTTCAATAACTTTGTAACGCCAGGTTGTGAAAAAATTGGACAAGGATACGAAGGAGTATAAAGTCTGCAAGTATGAAGTTTTTCTTCATAAACCTGGTTATTAAAAACAAACGAACTGCCGAATTATTGGGCTAATAGCTTGATATGTGGGCTAATAACTTGATGAATTTGATACACAGTTAGGGTACATCATGGAAACGCACACTAAGAAGGAATTTTTCGAAATTTCCACGTGGGAATAGAAAAAGAAAATTAAGGCTTAACCGAAAAAACGGCTTCTACTGTATTATCTTAGATGCGATTTTTTGTTTTCAACAACGTTTAGTCTTTATTGAGTACTTAGGTGTATTGAATTGATAACATTTCAGACATTGCTATAAATATTTTCATACATTTCGATTTTTTAACCAAATGTAGAAACCGTTTTAAATTCAAATTTGAAATTGCATATTAGTTCGATTATAGAATGATTGTAAACGTTCTAGAAAATTGATCAAATTGAAAATTGTTTGATTCTCAGCAATTCTAATCATTTTCGGCGGTAGGTGTTATATAACAATTACTATGATTGTCCAAATACTGAATATACATGGGGTTGGCTTGCAAAACCCCTACGGGCAAAGACGCAAGTAATATCTACTAATCTATATATATAATCGAGATGGGTTGATGATAATAGTAAGCGCAGAGCCCAAACGGTTACGCGTTGAAAATTGAAATTTGGTACACAGTTAGGGTACGTCACGAGAACAAACACTAAACAGAGATTTTTTAAAATTCCATTAACCCACGGTGAAGAGAAACAGGATTAAGGCTTCAACAATGGAAGTGTTAAGTAACAATGGAAGTGTTAACAGAATGCGACGTGCAAGATGTACAGGCGCAGATGCGGGTTTTTTGCGTTTTTGCAGGAAATAAAACATATTTTTAGACCCATCTAAAAATACTCTAATTAGTCTGAAAACAGGGAGACCTAATTCTTGCGTTTTGTAAAAACGGGTGAGATTAGCTATAATGTAATAATCTTAATCTTCGCTATCGTTACTTTTTGCCCGAGCAACGCCGGGCTTATCTGCCAGTTTACTTATGTATTCCAATATTTATTATAAATCTACCAAGTAGATTTATAATTAATATCTGTAGATACATTAAATGGTAACTTTTATTATTATTATGCTTTTGATAAAATGTATAAAGTAATATATAACAAAATAAATGAAACTGTATTAAATAATAGTATTTTTATTTTTTAAGGAATGTACAGAAGAAGTAAAGCTGAAATCAAATTTGCAGTCTTCTAGTCAAACCTTGGATCATCAAACAACACTGGATCAAGATGTATTAAGCGCTGCCGAAATTCTTCTCCAAATGAGAAGGAGACTACAGACAGACGAACAAAATACTTCGGATTTAAATAAATCTTCAACGTCAAAACAAGTCAAGAACATTGAATAACGAAGATTACTTCATTTGATTTTTAAAAATCTTTTTTCACCTCATTCAAATTGTTTCTTCAAAAGCGTACAAAATAATCTATTAGAACATTTATATTTAAGATAAATTTTGAATTTGTAGAATATCTGACAAATATTCCAATTAAAAAACATCACGTAAAGTAGCAATTTGATTTTTAAAAACAAATAATTAAACAGTGAGCGAATTATTGCTCTAAATAATAAACCAATAAAGAAGCAATGCCCTTACTAAACTTTCTTGGCAAGGATTCAGATTGCATTTTGAATCACCTGTTATGAGATTTAATATTAAAAATTCTTACATTACTAAAACTTTGCAAAAAATTAAATTGCAAAAAGCTTAATTTTAAGGGTAGAGTATTATAAAAGAAAATAATAATTAAAAGCTAACAACGAATAAAATGTATATTGAATCGTACTTACTAGTATTTATTGAATTTCACTCTTTCATTATACTATTTACTTTTAGAAAGACACAGAACATGGCCAAGAAGTGCAATCGGATGTTTTTCAGACACCAACAACAAGTTCTGAAGCAAGAGGATCAATTGAATCTGAACAAGTGGCTTCAGAAAAGATTATTTTCACGCCAGGAGAAGCTGAAGAGTTTCTTAAAGATTTTAACATCGATTTAGAAATTATGAAGTTAGAAACATCTTCACAACTGGAATTATTCTCAGAGATGGAAACCGATGAAGATAAATTCGAATGTCAACTTTGTGGACAACAATTTTTTGATAAAATTTCTTTAAATGAACACGAGAAACAATTTCACCAATCTAAGTAATTCTAAACATTTAACTTTGAAACAATATAAGTTCAAAAAGTCTTCAAAAATTATAAACTATTTTCTATATTAGTCTGCGACTGATGAAAATTAACCATTAGTAAAACAATATTAGTTACAGTGGGGTTATATAAAAAAACATTGGATTATTTTCATATAATTTAGTTTTTTGTACAAATTATTTTCTAAAAGTACTATATATTTGCAAGACGATAATTTTAATACGAAACAGAATTTAAAAGTTATTATTTGAATTTAATTAATAGCTTTAATTGAATAAATTTCACGGGATTGAATGTTTCGCAGATTTCTAACTGATATTAACAGTAGGTATCAGTTCATTTCTGAGTAAAGTGAAGAACGTGAACTCACATTTGGTCATTAGATTACGCGAGGACGAAACGACTTAAAATAAGAATAACTAAACTAAAGTAATTATAACTTAACTAGAATAAAAAACGAATATTATGCTGCTTATCCCACTATTGTTAATTAATTATTGAGCAATATGATTACTTTTTATTAAGACTTCACACAGTATTGAGAACTTACTCAACAGAGAAATTATAGATGGGAAATTAAAATTCTTTACATTTCGGGTAACCAAACGATTTATGAGATGGTTGTTAAAACAAGATATATGGATTTAACAGTTATGGATAATATATTTGTAATTAAGTGAGTGTAACGTCAGAAGAAACTTGTCTTACTAAAATGTTGAGTAGTCACAAATAAATGTTTAACGTTTAGCATATTCTGTGTGTGGTATAATACGTTAAACCATCTAAATTAAAGTGTACAGGATGAACTTTTCGAAAATATGAGAGCAGATGATCGCTATTCAAGAATATAATTTTCAAGAGTTTCGCCGTATTTTGAACGATGGGTTATTAAGGCCGATGTTGTTACGTTGTTTATATGCGAAAGATTTCCTTGCTTTCAGCATTTAATTTTTATACAACAATTTTTAAAATGATGCTGTTTTTCAATTTACAGGAATAGATTTTTGCTAGTCGATAAATATTAAGTTTAAAGCAATTAATGCGTGGTATACGGTGCATATTCACATTCACTGTATACCGCGCTGTTCATAAAAATATTGTCTACTGTAGATTTTTACTGATTTTTCAACGTTTTTTGACTGGACGAAAAAAACCTCAACAATATATATTGGCAATAGTAAAAGTTTATTATTAATCTGCTGTTCCTTGGTAGAGAGAATTTGTGAATATGATGGAACAAGGTTTAGAAAAGAGTCTTGGACTTGCTTGCTTATATTATGTAAACTGTCATATGTTATTGTGTAGCCATTTTGAACAACGGACTTCGTAGAGTCATGTCTACTAATCCAGATTTAACCCCAGTGACTTCTTAATATCAACAAAAACACAAATTCTCCAAAACGCAGATTACGTCACGTACCGTATGTTCGTGAAACACTTATAAAAAGATTTAAAATAGAACATTCTGTAGTGAAACGGCGTTGCAAACGAAGAAATAATAGTAATAAAGATAGTGTTAATGTTACAGCTAATGCCAAGTATTTCTTAACAATTCAGATAAGGAATGATTATAACCTCAAATGATCGATTTATTGCCAGTTGTAGATGGAGTAAGTCGTGCTAGAATTAGTTTGCTTATTCATTAGAAATTTTTTCAAATCAGCAAGTTCTCAGAAGTCAAACTGTTTGAAAATTCTGAAAGTGAGGAAGAATTTTCCCAGAAACGATGTTTCTAAAATTTGGAAGGATAAAACAACCTAACGGACTGTAAGTTTTGGAAGCTTTGATGTGTTGACAATTGAATAATAGTTGCTCTTAAACACGAAAAATATGACTTTTTGGAATAGTATTAATTTAAACATATATTACTCTTGAATATTGTATATTGACTTTAATAATGACAACATTAATGGGAAAATGTAAGAAATGTTTGGTTGTTTGACATAGTTTGTTTGAAAATCTTAGTTATATGATCTCGTTTATTTATGTACATGTTGGTACTCACACAAGTATTTCAAAGTTTTTAATGAACAAAAAACGTTAATATATTTATACTATTATCTGTATCATTATTTTATAATCGAATTTTTAGTTGCTACGAGACCCTGTTTAAAAAAATTTTCGTTTAATGTTCGAATTATGAAAGAAATTAGAAGAGATGAAAAAAAAACGATAATAAATCGAAAAACCTTATTAACATTTTATATTAATTACATGCATTTCGAGTTTATGTAGCAATTTCATTCGATTAATGATCTCTCCACATAGTTGCATACAATTATTTTCATTGAGAGTGACAGCAAAGGTTTCGTGCGAAGTGAAAAAGTCACTAATAGACATTTACACAGGAATCAAGCTTCCGATTTCTTTGAGCCGATTTTTCTGTTCCCGATATCTCTAGCATAACTGTGAATATTTCGTTCGAAATCAAATGGTTTTGTTAGGTAGTGAGCAAAACTTTAGGGCTTTTTATAAATAGCTACTGAAATATAAGCAATTAGAAAGTGAAAAAATCTTTTTAAAAGCTGTAATTTTTTCTTTTTTTCATCTGTCATTGCAACCGCGCCTACATCTATAAAATTTAAAATTTAAACAGACAAGTAATTTGTTGATGTTGTCGAAACCGTGTTGTATTTGCTTATTGTGTACAGGCACAATGAAGTGACGTTTTTTAACGTTTTTTCCATACATCAACGTTTCGGGCATCAGCCCCTCTTCAGCTAACTAAATATATATAAAAATATTTAACAGGACACAAATAAAAACCAAAAAACTCACATAAATTATTTGTAAACCATACCTCATTTCAGCATGGACACTGCACATACAGTAGAAATCAGACTACACTTAGGTTTTTTTAACATTTTNATCTACATACACGTTTGGAGAATACCTCGACACACGTGAATTTACGATGCAGCTCAGTGTAATAGAAGAGCCGCTCGTTTCGACATCAACATCGTACTCTGCATTGTGTTACTACATTGCATGCTGTTTTTACCAGAGATAATCAGTGGCTGCAAGGAATAAGCGCCTTCACTTTTATCAAGGCTAAATGTGTGACACTCTCATACATTCTGCTTTGAGGAAATCGTATAATATCAATGGTTTTATCAATATGATCTCTTCGTTCGAAAGATAAAATTAATTTTGCTTATATCTTTGTAATGCTTTTTTGTTAAATGATTTCGTCAGTATTAATTACACGATTTTTTAACCATCTAAGATCTTTTTCGAAACTGATTAAAATAATAGCTTTATATTGTGTTGTTTTATGTTTNTATCTTCGTTCGAAAGATAAAATTAATTTTGCTTATATCTTTGTAAAACTTTTTTGTTAAATGATTTCGTCAGTATTAATTACACGATTTTTTAACCATCTAAGATCTTTTTCGAAACTGATTAAAATAATAGCTTTATATTGTGTTGTTTTATGTTTTTTTACATCATAAAGATAAACCTTCCTTTTTGCCCTCCCTTTCCCTCCCTTCCCCTCTCTTCCCCCCTCTTCCCCTCCCTAATCATGAACTGATATCAATATTTTCAGAGCAATTCAGACGTAAATGCTTATTAAGTTTTAAAAAAGGAATAAATAAATAAGGTTCGTTTTGGCGAATTTTCTGCTGTAAATGTAACTTGAGTTTTTAAAAACTAATTGTAAGATTTTATTTTTATTTTATTTTTCTTGTCATTAATAAATATGAGAGAATAATTTAACTAGTCAACAGGCTCCACTTTTGAAACATTTCCTGTACGTTGTTACTACAATAGGGCCCTTTAATTTAGAGCTCATTCAATGTTTCCCATTCGACACTTAAAAAAAATTCGTTTATATAATTTGTACGTCTCAGATTTCGAAAAAATATTCAGATAACAATTTAGGAAATTCATTCAGAAACTGTACCCTCAATAAGTTTCTTTCTTTATGCATTTTACATTTAAAAAGAAGTAACATTAAATCTGTTTCGTTACAATTTTCATGCTAACCTATAGTCACAATCTGACATTCTGACTAAACAATTGGAAAATTTCACATTATTGTAGTGCATTCTTGGCGTTTCATCTTTTAAAAATTTATAAAGTGAATTTAGAATTTGGATCATAAATTCTATAAATGCAATCAGAAAAAGTAAGTGAAACGTTCAATCTGTTTTGTATAGCATTGTTATTTGGCGACCCTTGTTATTAAAAATTGTAAAAAATAAAATAATTGAAATTATAAGTCATGTCGAAAAAATACATATATTTTACTATTTTGATTAGACATAAAGAAAAAATATTTTTGAAAAAAATAAATCGAATCTTAATGATATATAATAATTTACATAACAAATACTTTTTAAAGGACCAAACAAAGATACACGAATGTACTTTTTGTGAAAATAAATTTCGTACAAAATGGGAGTTAGAAGTTCACATGAGGTCTCATACTGGTGAAAAACCGTTTGAATGCAATATTTGCGGAAAAAAATTCTCCCAGTCTGGAAATTTATTAGTTCACAAAAAAATACATTTTGAAGAAAGACCATTCAAATGCAACTACAAAGACTGTACATACACTGCGAAAAGGAAAGATGTTTTGATAGAACATGTCAATCGAACACATCTAAAAGTAAGAGCTTCTGTGTTTATTATTGAATGAATAATGTTTACTTTTTAATAATAATTGAATAAATATTTATAAAATAGAATATATCATAATTATTAAATTAAAGTATAAAATATAATATTATAATAAATTATGAAACGCGTTTAATTATTATAAGAGTGGCACTTTACAGTAAAACATCATAATATATAATTGTTATATCTTATTCTTAAAGAACGTGAATATTAATTATCAAATAACTTTTCTTTGAATAAACGTAA